ATACAACACTTAAAATTGTATTATTTTTAAATGTTGCATTGTTATTTATTGCCTTTCCCTTGAATATTTTCAAGCTGTTTCTGGTTCGATCTGCAAATGTGAGGCCCACATATAACAGAGGTCCCAGGGTAGTACGTTTTCTAGTATTCTAGGGTTCTAGATGTTCGAATAAGCCCTGGGCAGGTTCACTGTACCAGCGGGACTTGTTTTTAAGGATCAGCAATAATTTCCTTTCTTTGCTCAACTGACAGTCTCTAATGATGGTCAGATACTTCCCCTGTGATTTGCTTCTGGTCTTGGCTCTTACAGATTGTGTTCTTCTCGTCTGTTTTTTGGAACCTGACCCAAATGAACTCAGGTCTTAGTCTGAATGACCAAGTGCCTTGAGAACATTACTTATTTTTGAAAGACTAGATGCTGCTTATCCTTGAATTATGATATGGACTGAGGTCCCCTGCACCCCAATCATATGTTGAGGCCCTAATATATGTGACAGTATGTGGAATAAGGGGGTAATTAAGGTTAAGTGAGGTCATAAGCATAGTGCCCTATTTGATAGGATTAGTGCCTTTATAAGAAGAGAGACCAGAGATCTCTCTATGTCCCTGTCTCTGTCTGTCTCCCTCTTCTCTCATCCAGGGCCAGAGCTCTCACCAGAAAATGAAATCTACCAGGCCTTCATCTTGGACTTCTGCCTCCAGAACTGACAGAAAATAAACTTATATGAGCCACCTAGTCTATGTTATTTTGTATGGCAACCTAAGCAGATTAATAATGTAAGTTATAAAAATAAAGAAGCAGATTTCCTAGTTTCTTAATTGGATGAAGATATACAAAGCTAAGAAGCAAAACTGATAATTAAAAAAATTTTAAAAAGTAGGCATCTTGGTACACACTTATGGTTAGAAATGAGGATCTGAAGTCAACCAAAATGGGCTTGAGCCTGTCTCTGCCGTTTACTGACTGTGTAACCATGATGAAACTACCTCCCTTCTCCAAATTTCATTTCCTCCTTCTGTGAAAAGGAGGTAAAATGACAGTGGCATCTGTCTCATAGGACTAAGTGCTACACATGAAGTCATAAAACAACACTAGCTGCTATTATTACTACCTGGTTGTGACTGTCACACTGCGAGGTCCAGTCAACATGTAAGCAGACTGAACTGTCATGTGTGCCCCCCGCCCCAAGGTCCCTCATGCACAAGGCATAGGTTATTCACACAGCGCTTAACACGTGACTTCTGGGACCAGGACGCCTGGAGGGGTGACTGATGGGGACTTAGAAAGGCCAAGAAACCAGAGTTCTGTCTCAGTCACTTGTCTGCTGGGGTCATCCATCATTCCAGTAAGAAGCCATTTTGAGACACACGCATCTCATACCACATTCAAAACATGACAAGCTCTGCTAGAGACTGTACTTCTGGAAAGGCAGGGACCTCTTGCCCACCAACGTCTGACTCCTTTTCACAGGTCACTGCACAGGCTCGTGATGGAATAGATGCAGGGAAGGAAATGTCAACAAGAGAAGAAGAAAGACAGTATGAGAGCAAGGAAGCCCCTCTCTGCCTGGTTCAAAAACAGAGAAAATGTGTGAGACAAATGTTCTCCAAGAACTTGTGGTTTTCCTTGTGAAGTGGAAGCAAGTGCTGACGTTGAGATAATTCCGCCTGGCTTTGCGTGATGATGAACTCAGAGATGGCTCCAGTTCAGCTCCTATTTATTTTCTCCAGCATTCTACCAAACCATTAACCACATCCAACGCTTTTAATCATGCTTGGTGCCTTCCCATTGTCCTGTGTTTTCTTTCAAACACGTCAACAGAACAACAGACGCTGAGAACATATCATAAATCTCCACACAGAGTTCTGGAATTCTTAGTTATTAATTCTTTCTGACGTGGCCAGCTGTCTCTAGGGTAATTAGTAACAGAACGGGGTTAATGGAGCTGCCTCATGGTGATACAGATTTATTATGACTGATTGCTCACTTATAAAAATTAAGCAGGTCTAACTGAGTTCAGACTCAAAAGGACAGTACTAGACTCAGTCCCTAGACATCTCTGTTGGTCTTATCCCGAATATTTAAGATACTGGCAGGGAAAAAAAGCAAAAATATAATGTGTTTTTGAGCATTTAATTTTAAGCTGTATGAAGGTACAGTTCATAGATAACATAATCCATTCATTGGAAAGGGACTAAGAAAGCCAGAGAGACCAGGCCAATTTAGACATCTTCAATCCTCAGACAGAGAGATTCCCATGGGCACAAGGCCATTTAAGATCCAGGGCTGATAGTTCTTTATTTTTGGTACTGGGAATCGAACTCAGGACCTTGTGTTTGCTAGGCAGGTACTATGCTGCTGAAATACATCCCCAGCCCCTGGGCTCCTAGTTGAAGCGCCACTGTATCTCATACACTAGACAACTAGATAAATCACAGTCTGTTATGAGGTAGCAAATTCTGTAACTCCTCTTCTAAAACACTTTATCTACCAGTCTGCTCTGTCTCTCTCTCTTCCCACTCCTAGCAGATGATTTTCTTTAGCTCATATTGCAAGGATTAGAGAGGTTTCTCTGGTCCAGGTCATTCTGTTTACTAGTGATTTGGGGATACACAACTCAGAGTTGGCCTTAGTGGTGAAAACCCTTCAACTTCTCCTCTCTCTGCTCATTCTACACAGTTACCCAGGAAAATATTTTAAGCACTAGCTTCCATCATATTGTTCCATGCTAAAACCCTCCAAAGCCTTTCCTAATGGCCAAGGAATAAATCCATACCTCTATATGCCTTTACCTAGTGAATCTTGCTTCTCAGTACATCCAAAATGAAGCCTCTGTTTGAGCTAAGCCTACTGTTCAGTCACCCCAAACCCTGCCACCTTTGAGCCTTGGTCCAAGGTCTTCTTTCCTGGAATTCTTTCTCCCATTCTTCACAATGCCCTTCACACTTTAAAAAGTCAGCTCAAGCTTCAGACTTCTCAGCAACTTCTTTACAAACCTGCACTGGCCCCAAGGATGACTCTAAATGATACTAGCCATATATATGAAATATATCTTCTCTCCATATAAAATACAGCTGTTCCTCAGTATTGGTGGGGAATTGGTTCCAAGTCCTCTGTGGATACCAAATTGCATGGGTGCTTAAGTTCCTTACATAAAATGGCATTGTATTTGCATAGAACCTACACACTTCCTCCTGTGTGCTATAAATCATCTCTAGATTATGTATAATTCCTAGTACAATGTAAATCCCGTATAAATAGTTGTTATATTGTATTTAGGGAATAAAGACAAGAAAATAGAGTCGGTACTCATTCAGGGCAGATATAATTTTTTCCCCTTAAATATTTGTGACCTCTGGTTGGCTGCACTAGACACGTGGAAGTCATGGACACAGAGGCTGACCGTGTGTGTTCATGAAGCTGCCATAGCGTCGCCTCTACCTTGACACCTAACACAGTACTCTGTCTATGGTAGGCATATTGGATAAGTGGGTTCTATATGTACATGTACAGGTCTACTGATCATTCATAAGGGAATTCAGTGTCAAAGGCTTAAAAGGTACATAAGCTTTGACTCAGCAATTCTAACCCTAGAAATAAATCAGAGAAAAGTCAAAGCTGCTTATACAGATATATGTCAACTGTTGAGGACGTTTACTGTTGTGGTTCACAAGAGAGAAGATAGAAAAGTTGTGGGGGCCAATCCAGGAAATCTTGATCTATACTAAGCAGCTAATAAAACCATGTAGAGTATTTACTAATATGAGAACCAGTCCAAAACATATCACTGAATGCAACATGCAGGTGGTAAGACAGCAGAATCCCATTTTTATTAGATGGAAGACATGCAGTGTGTCTTTCTCGGAAGGAGGCCTATGGGGCTACTTTTCCTTTGTAAATTTTTTGTGAATTTAAATTTCTGGGCACTGAACTAATGCTTGGAATGGTAACTTTAGATGGACATTCACTCTTTCAAATCACGAACGTCCAACTGGAGTGGACACATATTTATCAGCACAGTAGTTCAACATGAGACTATGTCAAAGATGGCTCTAACAAAACTCAGCACCATGAAGGAAGTGTCCTGTGGCCATGGGAACACATCCCTGTGCCAGGATGTGGGGAACCACGTCCCATAGGCCTCTGCTGCAGAATTCCTGTCAGTCCTGTGAAGGCATTTATTTTTCTTCAGCCTTAGTTTTTCTAGCTCAAGATAGGTGAATATTCTTCCCCACCTCCACCTAATTACAGGGTAGAGCTCAATTACATAGTATTTGTAAAAATGGCAGATATAATGTAAGATGGCAGTCAATTAGCATCAGCTAGGACTCTTATCAGGGCTGTTTCCAAACTCTTTAAATCTCTGATTACACCATCACCTTAAGTCACAAAGCAGCATGTGATTCCTGTACAAATGTGTAGTGAAATTCAATTTCATTGGTTACCCAACTTCATCACTGTGGGTACATTCAGTAACACTTCAGAAATGAAAATGTCAAAATCATTTTAGGATAACATTGCTAAACTTATTCTGCCTCTAAGAATATTTCCCACATACTCTGCAGATTATCGTCTTTGCTTTTTCTTTTTTCTTTAAGAAAAACAGACATTACTGAAATGCACTGTAGTAGGAGAAATATACTGGGTTTTAGATAGTAACTTAAAGACAAAACATATAAAGCCTTGACAAACTCATTATGAAAGAAACAAAGCATGGTTCTTTACCTTTGCAAACACTGCGATGTTGAATCTATTCTGCCCAGACGGGCAAATAATCTTGAAGTAGTCACATAGATACAATGTACATAGCTACAGATACATGCGACTGAAGGCCTTTGGCGTATGGCCGTGAATGTATGCGCCGAGACACAGAAACACCCAAACACCCCAGAGGGCAACCTCCAGAGATGTGCGTTCAGGCCCCAGACAACAAGAACAAGAAAGAAAGGATCCCTTGAAGGGAAGGAGGGCTGCACACCCCGGGAGATGTGTCCACTCACCTGTTAAGTGGTTGGCAATCCGGGCAGTGGGTTTGGGAGGCAGGGCCGGGGGCTGCTTGAGAAGGGACAGCTGCTTCACTGGGGTCTCCTCATGGTCTCCAGAGAAAGCAGCAGGTTTTTTGGGGGGCAGTAGCAGGACTGGTTTGGCTGAAGGATCTTGGGACAGGAGGACTCCAGACTCACTGGCAGAGGGACTCTCTTCAGACACTGAGGGGACAACCACATGATACACAGGAGACATTACACACACGCAGCGCAGGTGGTGCCGGCCAGAGACACAGGACAGCGATGCGGGAGGCTGGCCAGACAGCAGGCACTACTGCCTCCGGTTGTCACACTAAAGCGAGCACATTGCGCATCTGATAGAGCAGGAGGCGTGGTAAAAGGACAGAGAGGAGGCAGAGGAAGACAGAAGAGAAGGGGAAGGAGAAAGAGGAGGAAGGGGGAGGAAGGACTTTTTCTCATCAAAAACACCACCAAACTCTGTGCTTATCAGACAAAGGGTACAGGTGCTTCACGGCGTGACTCATGGGCCAACAATGGTCAACAGGATGGGAGGTGCTTCTGGTCAAGCATGAAGAGTCGCCTAAGCCCAGCCAGAAGGACCCAGTGTTGGGCCCGTTGCTAGGGCCTGGGTGCTCTTTGTTGAGATGCAGACAGAGTGGATTCACACTGCCGAAGGTCTCTGCGTTGCCCGGCGGGGCTTGCTTCGTCTCTGCTCTCGGGGATGGGACAGTAGGTGCTCTGGATGGTTGACACGGAACACACGGCTCCCCCACGTCCTGGAGACAGTGCTGAGTAGCAGCCCCCAGACAGGACTCTGTCATGGGGAACACACTTGCCCTGACAGTGCCTGTGACCCCTACTCATGGCCCCTCTTTTGTATCTTTCCCTTTCCTCTCTCCTCTTGTCTGCTGGAATTTTGGTGGTCTTGATTCAGGCCCTCTGCTTCTCTTTGCTCTGATTTGGGCCTGGTTTTGCCTTTCTCCACAGGATCCCACAGTAGGCTCCGGTTGGGAGCTGTCAGTAACACACACCTTTCTACTGTTCTGCGTCTGAGTGAAGACAGACTGAAACTAAGGCTTTCCTGGGAAGACGAAAACAATCACTAAAACAATCAAATCTACCTGATTCCAATGCCAAAAGGAAGATTGGGTTAAGAAATATCACTGCTCTTCTTGGAACACTCCCTGGAGGGACGAATGTAGCTCAGTGAGAAAGCTCACACTGTACATGCCTTCCCTCCTCGCTGATCTGAGAGCAGTGTTCTGCACAGCAGCAAAGCTTGCAAAGAATCCCCGAGAGCACAGAATCCTCCCTGTCTAAAGGGACATCCTTTGTTGTCAATGCTGAACATCCTGAGGGAGCCAGGACTTGCCAGGCCTCACAGGGGAGCACGGGAATGACTCTCCCCCATCTGCCCACAGGTTCACGAGCACCTGTGCACATGAGTTTTGCAGCTGGCATGCAGAAAGGAAGTGGCTTTTCTGCCCATACTCTAGGTATTCCAAGAGGTCCCCTTCTGATGACCTACTTCCAGATGACACACAGCGTCCCTATCTGTTGGGAAGGACTTATCTTTGGGCCAATCAGACCACTCTGCAAACCTCCTGAGAGGAGTATTGGCCACTTGGGTGACTCTGGACCAAAGACAGAGGCAATGGTCAGTGGCATCAACTGACCATCACCTATTGACACACTCCTACTTACCCAGAAAATTACACACAACTTAATCAATAATTACATCAAGTGACTGTATTCAGTAAACTGGTACAAGCATTAATTGGTACACTGAGACTAGAAGTTAAAGGGAATGGCCAGGCCTTTTGAACAGGCAAATTAGATACCATACACAACATAGCAGATTTGTTTCATCTTAGCAGAGATGCATGTTAGAAAACAGAACAGAGACATTTAAAATCATTAATGTGACATAACAAGCTATGCCTCTTTTAAGGTGATTAGAGTTATAAAAAAGAATTCTTAACAACTATAAAACAATATGTATCAATATCCCCCATATTTTCTTATCCTAAGTAAGTATAAAGAATAGGTCCGTTTCATCCATATTTTCAGATCCTTACACAGAGAATGCTCCAAAATAGAACCCTCAGTCCAGCCAGATAGAGGTCCCCAAGGTGACATTCTGGGGTACTGACTGTTGATCCTGCCATTGGCATTACCTGGCCCATCCATGATGTCTGAAGCTTGGAGCACCTCATACGAGCAGGGATCCCTGGGCATCGGGACTGGCTCCATCTCGGACAGCGCAGGCAGAGACAGTTGGCTGGAACTCAGGGACTGCCCGTTTTCCAGGGAGTCATCTTCATTCGATATGGAGAGCTCCCCATCTGTCAGAGAGAAGGTTATTGCAGAGTTAGACCATATCTGCCTTCCAGGGAAGGGCAATGCTTTGCTCCTGCTGAGTCTAGATGCTTTCGAACCAGCTCTGTTAAGGTTAGTCTCCAAAGCTGACATTTGCTCTTTTGCTTTTAAGGCATTCATTATATTTATAGATATGGGTTCTCTACCCATCAGGACAACACTAGCCAATGATCCTCAGCAACTTGCTTGTTTTCTCTGTCTTTCTCATCACAATTCATCCCATGCTCTATTTTTTTTAAAAGGAAAGTGAATTAAAATTAATTTTTTGTTCTAATTTTAAAAAATTTGGAAAAACTCAGCAGGTCTCAGACATGGGAAAACAAGATTGAGAATTCCCACTTTGAGGAGAAAAGGGATTTATAGTACTGAACAAGAACATGGTAACCAGAGGTCCCAGGAAAATACTCATCCTGACTCCTGTTTACCAGTTCCTCTAAGCAGCTAAATATTTCCAGAAGCTCTGATCTCTACCTTACAGGCTGCAGCAGCTCTGCTAGAAGTGCCAGAATTCCTCCAGTGCTGACCACCCATCATGCCCACTTTGATCTTGCTTACAGCTCAGTGGCACAAGGGGCGGCTGGTTAACACCATGGCAGAGGATCAAAGGCTCCCGCACAATGGCCATGTGTCAGATCAAAATTTCCCCACTGTGATTTCATCTTAGCCTGGGGGAGTCTTAGATAACTAGACATTAAAGTCAAATTAATTTTTAAAGCAGACTGAAAGCTATTCCAGCCAGATGAATAAACACTCAGATGAAAGACAAAAGCATGGATACTCAGAGACTCAGAAACTGGTGAAGCAATTACCTGACTTAACACGGGAAGAAAGATGATTTAGGCTAGAAATGAAACAGTAGGGTAACTCCAGGGTTAATCTTTTTCTTTCTCTTGTTCCTATCAAAGTTCTGACTTCATATAGCATTGCTATACAGAGGCACAGGGTTCCTCCAGTCCACCCTACTAGAACTGGCCCAGTGAAATATTCCACGGAGTAATCTACCGACAAGTAAGCTTTCAACAGCGCATGATTCAAGGACATAGGATGACTGACCTGAATCTTCTGCAAATATTAAAAAAAATTATTGCATACTCAAAAGAAAAATCATCTGAAGCAGACACTAGAAAGCACTGGCATTTATAGACTGGGTGACTTTTTTCTTCCTACTCAACCCTTTACAAAATGTCCAATACGGCAGTAGAGGTTATTCTAATTGGAATTAACAATGTGATTACTGCCCATTAATAAGAACACAAGAGCAATGCAGATGCTGAAGTCAGTGCTATGGGAATCACACAGCTGAGCTTTGAGTCCAGCATGGCCGGGGCCATGGCGCATTAACGCATTGCTACGGGATGGTCCCCAGTCCTCCTCACATGGTTTATTTAGGATATTCAAGCTGACGCTGTGGGAAGTCGCTACGCTTAAAGTTCCCAGTTGGGAATGACACAGCTGCCATTCAGTTCAATGGATCTCTAGGAGACCACTTTGATTTCTGATGTTCCAAGAATATTCAAAGTCTTAGACAAGACAACCTGAGGGGGAGGGCTCCTCAGTGCTAGTGCCAAGGTGCTAGTGCTGCTTTGGGGCAAAGATGCGAGTGCTCAGCACCCACTTTAACTGCTAGCCATGGCACAGACGTAACACTAGGAAGAGATGCCTCTGCAGTTGGATTGCTTTCGACCCTAAGATTCTCAAGGTGTGGGGCTTTGCTGGTAACTAAGAAGTGATATTGCTTACTCTTCTTTGGATATATTCACTCTTAAAAAGTAGAGCCCTGCATGGAGTAAAAAGACACCTTTGCCAGGTCACAAAACCTCAAAGCACATTGAGGAGAAATCAGTTGTGGGAATTCCACTGTCCTACCTGCTAATGGCACATTTCCAAAAAACAAACAACAAAAACAAAAACATGGGAGAAGAAATATGACACTGATCACATCACTCTCCTACCTAGCAGAAGTAGTTTCTGCTGTAGTCCTACTAAGGTTGTAGTAGTACTATGTTATCAAATTTTGTTTTCTGCTTTTCTGTATTACTATAAGTAAAATTTGCATGATCATCATTTCAATGATTATTCTGTACCGGATGACTATAGAGACATTTACTTAGTTATTTCCTTATGGCTACTCACAAAATAACTTCCAATGTTTTACGCTGTCATGAAAACAAGGCTGGAAAGACAATCTTCCTGTATAGAACTTTTTTTTCTCTGCAATTAGAAATCTCCCTCTTCAGGATAAATTGCAACAAATAAAATTTGGGCATGAGAGTTGGGAAAAGTCAGGGTGAGAAGAAGTTAAGCCCCAAGAAATAAAGAAACGAAGGAATGAAAGAGGATAGCAGATGTGCGTTCAGAATACTTGGAGACTACATATTAGAGGCGGAGCTTGTTCTGCATGGAATTTCTCAATGTTCTAAAAGTGCAATTTATATAAAAGTTCTGATCCAAAATCTTCTTAGCTCAGAAGACACATTTTAAAATTTTGTGGTTTTTTAACTAATTGCTCCTACCTCTAGTAGAAATCATGGTTGTGACTATATTCCAAGTGCCTGGCTTTAAAATTTCAATCATCTGTTGTTTTGTTATTGTCACATGTTTTGTATCAGGGCTTACTATGGTTTGGATGTTGAATGGCCCCCAAAGGCTTCTTCCTCAGAGAGGGACTTTTAGGAAGTGCTGTGGGCCTTTAAAAGGTGAGGCCTAGTGGGAGGTCCATAGGTTATTGGGAGTGTGTTATGAAAGGGGACAGTAGGTCCCTGGTCTCTATTTTCTTGCTTCCTACCTTATAATGTAAGCAGTTTCCTCTGCCTCATGTTCTCCCCACTGCACTTGACCCTATCCCCCAACCTAAAGGCCTATGCATGGATCCTCCATTTTAGACTAGAATGTCCAAAACCATGCATCAAAATACACTTTCTCTTCATAAATTAATTATCTTAGGTATTTTGTTATAGTAACAAGATGCTGACTAACACAGGGAGATTCCCTGTTTTAGGGTGACTGACATCAACTTCTGGTCAATTAAATTTTCTCAAAGCTCAAGGTTAACTGAAGTTGTTATTTATAGATGAATGTCACCAGGGAGGATGGGTGATAGAAATTCATTCAGATTCTCATGGACACTTAGATAACAACAGTTTCTACTTTTAAAAAATTACATGAAAAATGGACACTTCGCTTTGCTTTGAGAAGGTGTAGAGTTAATGGCCCTTTGGGGACCTAAGATAAAAAAAAGTGTCAATTCTAATTCCTAAAAACCAAAGTGCTTTAATACACTTAAGGTCACCACTGAATTTGACTTTCTAGGCAATGAATTATGGTTTACATAAAAACCCATGTTTAAAAATTATTTCTAGTGGGATAAGAACTCTGATAAATAACAGTTGACTATGGAGATGAAGAATTACTTTTTATCTGAATGCTGAACCATAAATATTTTTTATACAGATAAAAAAGAAAACTAAAACTGAAAAACTAGAATAAATAAAAATAGAAAAAAAAAAAATAGTAGATATATATATATATTTACTTGCTCAGGCTGTGCAGAGGGAAGCTAGCTGAATAATTTTGACTTACTCATAAAACTTTCTGATTTTTAATTTGCAAAATGGAATGCTGTATACCAAAGAGAAGAAAAAAAGCAACATAATGGAAAAATATGAGGTAAACACATATTATAAAAGAACAAACTATTCCAGGAAGAAAAGGTATTTGTACAGGTAAATAAAAATGAATCCAAGATGCCACTTGCAAATGCATAGCCTTGCTGGGAAGGAAAAAAATGCAAATGAAGTGTTCCTGTGGGTGATGCTGATACAGGAAAATGTGTTTGAAGTAACGTCAAGTACAACATCAGGAATTGGAACAACATGCACAAGTCAGTTACAGTGACACCAAAATGGAGCATGCATGTGGCTTGGCAGCAGTCTAAAGGGAATCTGGCATGGTATAAGGAGGGTTTCATGACCATTAACTTGTTTTATCCCATAAAGATGCTAATGTTTATTTCTAAAAATTAAAAAAATTTGCATGCTGCCTCATTAAGTTAAATGAAAGAAAAATTAATAGTTTTTGTTAGAGAAGTAATGCCTTCCGCAAGGAGCAATCCTTTGGTTCTTGGCAGGAGGAATTTTCCATAAATGCTCATGATTTTTGTCCAGTTTCTTACTGTATCCATAGAAGTAGTCCATTACTAAGTAAGACACAACCACTGGTTCCTGTTTTTCTCCTGGGAAGAGCTTTGATCTCTTTTCCTTCCTATCCGAGAGCAGTGCAGACTCAACACTCAGACTTTCTCCCTTGCTGGGCTGATTGCGGGTGTTCAGGATTGGGAGCAGGAGAATCATCAGGCCTTCTTCTGACTTCCTCCAGCCCAGTCTTTATCAGACCCTACATGAGCTCCCATCTGTCTTATGATTCAGATGGTTTAGAAATACAGAGAATGAATGGTACTCACAGTGGGACCCTCAAATCTCTAATAATTCAGAGGAAAGAAAGGGAAAAAGGGAAGAAAGTGTTTCTTCCATCTCATAGAAAAAGAAATGGAAGATGCCATTGATGAGTGACAGAAAGAACGGTGTTAAAACCTCTTTTCCCTAGGAGGCCTGCATTTCAGGACCCAGAAGTGTGCTGGTGAGCACCCCTCACTTATTCTGGGAGAGACAAGGGAAGAGAGCAGCACAGAATAGTGGTAGAGTTGGACTCAGACCATGGGGAAAACCAGCATCATCATCCTTGCCATCAAAGGACTTCACCTCAGGGACTTCCATTTCTGACCTTTGACATCAAGGCTATACCAGGTGATGTTCAATCTCCTTCCACATCAACATACTCCCTGCATGAGCTTCTGGGAGAGATGACAATGAGCCCCCTACTCACCCCATACTGCAAATTAGCCTGAAATAAGATATGTGCTAAGCAGCAGAGCATTTCACATTTAGATTTTCTTTTTTGGTCTGACTTA